CCAGGAATCATATAGGTGGCTTCCAAATTTAAATCCGGGCAAAATATACCTCCAACATTTTATTTACTTCCTTAAGAGCGTCCGTAAAAACTTTATTTTTGCTTAAATTTTAACTCAATAATTTCTCTAAATTTAATAGAATTATTATCACTCTTATTTAAATCCAATCTTAAATATTCATTTTTACTAAAATAAAGAGGAAACTTATAATAATGATGCATATTAACAACATCAACATCTTGAACATGAGGAAAAATTTGATCAATGCCTTCAATAAGAGGAGGAACATGATAATATCTTGACCAAAAACCAAATGATTGATTATATGCCCCATAAGCTTCTGTAACAGACTGAATAATGGGATTATCCTGAATAGAGAATGATTTTAAAAGCAATTTAGTGGCCAAAAAATTACGTCTAATATTAAGGGGAAGTTCTGCCGATTCTGATAAAATGATATTAGTTGGACAGGAACGCATAAACAGTTTGAAGGTTATGCTGTTAGTTTTTTCCAGGGAATAGGTACATTAAAGAAATGCTAACTTCATGTTAAAAAATGGAAACAGACGCCACCTGGTGTCGCCTGGCAGTACTAGCTAAATTGAGGGGAATTGGAGGGGCGGGGCTTAAAAGAGGGGAAATTTTAAAAAAATATTTTTTATAAGTCTCACTGACTTACTGTTTAAAAGAGATTAATAAACATATTTTTATTACTTTAATATGGTATTAAAAATATGTCTATTAACTTTACACAACAAATCAATGATATTAAAGACTTATTATTTTCAAAGAAAATTCATAGTAAATAAATTACACATTAGTAAACAATATCATTTATTTTTAGAGCTGCGATTTATATTACAATAATATTTAAATATATATATTTTTTTAACAATGAAAAAAATATCCCGGAACCTGAAAAAGAAAGATGATCAATTAATGACTTAAATTAGTTCAAAATACATTTTGCAAATAACTAGTGAATTGGAAGATAAACATACTATTAAAAGACATTTTAGTACTATGTTATCATCTATTTACTGATAATACATAAGTATATAATAGGTAAATAGCATGCATAAGGCACTATGATACAACTACCTGTATCATGATAACACACAATCACAAAAATATATGCTAATTTAAATTCCTTTAATGATCTAATGAAACACTATCTAGCCTCAATGCATTGCCATTCCAAAGGCAAAAAAACTGTTATACCAAATAAATATAAGCTGAATAAAACTTAAACCAAGCCAACGTGCATAAACAACCAAAAATGCATCAAAAAATACTTTTTTATCAGATCATACCCTTGGATATATTATGTATTTTATATATCGCACATCCCGTTCAAAGTTTACTAACTCAAAATAGAGAATATAGAGAGCATTGTCAGGAGAAGTAAAAAGAAAATTTAAGTTAAAGCAATATGCTCCTTTTTGCATATTAACGGCCAAATAATATAATGTTGATTTAATAAAAATTTACTGGCATCCTTCTAAGGTATAAATCAGATTAAAAGGACATTGTTTTTTAATAATTGTTTGTTTGTAAACATTTTGAAGACAATACAGTTTTGAACGGGCTGTGCGATATAAACAAGGATCTTACTATTATTTGAGATTAGAAAGTATTTAAATAATATAAAACATAATCAAAATCATTTTTTCATCATAAATTATAGAGGTACTTACGTGTTTTGATATTATCAGGAAATAATACGTTTAGTTAAACGGGTACGCTGCCAGGCAAGTTCTATCGGCGGGTCTTTGCAAAATTTGAAATCTAAAAATACAAAAATACGTTTACATCTTAGTTGTATTTACGGATAAAGTATTTGTGTGTAATTTCTGACTTACCAGTTAACTGAATAATCGCATTAAATACATCAAAATGGTAATTTAGCCAAAAAGCAAAATTGTTTTAATCACTTGCCAGGACAGCCCGGTCAGCTTCTTTGTTGGCAAAATGGCCGCGGTATCATGATTTAAGCAATGTGAGTGACAAAGAAAGCCAATGCCTGGCAGATGTTGCTTTCTTTGTCGTTGGTCCTGGCACGTTTAAATTTGACTGTTGCCTGTTTTCCCATACAAGTGACACCCCCGTGGTTTTTTCTTCTTTTTTCTTTGTAAACTCTAGTTCATGAAAACGGGAACTGGAACAACACTTGAGGGTGCATCCACACTATCTTAGAAAAAGCGGAACGGCGTATCGGCGTAACGACCTTGAATCAATTTCCAGCAATTCTATTGGCTGAAAAATTCATCTGTCAGAGATTTTATCTGTCGAATTCATCTGTCAAAAATTTCAGCCAATAGAATTAGTGGAAATCGATTCAAGGTCGTTACGCCGTTACGTCGATACGCGGTTTTTAGGTTAGTGTGGCTGCACCCTCATCATCTAAAACGGCGTATCGGCGTAACGACCTCGAATCGATTTCCAGTAATTCTATTGGCTGAAATTTTGACAGATGAATTTGACAGATAAAATTTCTGACGGAATGAACGTTTCAATTGAATTACTGGAAATCTATTCCAGGTCGTTACCTACCGCTTTAAGTGGTAATAACCTGAACTCGGGCGCAGAAATATGCTCTGAACTACGTTCAACGGTGAACTATAGATAACTGCAGTTCAAGAAAACTTCTGTTGAACCAGTCGTTGTACAACCGGCCCTAACAATGACTGAAGAATATAAGGACATGTAACGCCCCTATACGGGCTGCAGCAGAATTTGTGATCTTTTTTTGTTTGGTGGCAGGTTATCATTTGGTCACCAGCGACAATTCTAGCGATTTACAATAGTTTGTGTAATGGAAGGCGTATAAACTTTGTTACAATGGTGATTGTTCAGCTTTCAAGTGTAAAAGCAGCAGCGATAAGAAAGAGCCAGGAGTTACGTTTCATAGGTAAATAAACAGTCCACTCCCAAGAACAGTTAACCTAATAGGACTGCTCATTCAGCCAAAAGTGTCCGCCAGGTGCATGCGAAAACTACTCGCTTTGTGACGTCATTGTAGCCTTTGTCATGGTTATTAGTCCTTATCCGGCATCCGGCAACCAATAATACACACACGTGCATTATTGGTTACCGAGCTCTAAAACATTCATTGGCCCAGTTTTATTTATTTAAACACCTTATATGTATGCAGTATAGAAAATTAACTGTATAAATCGTATTAAATACTCGGATAATGCATTTTTAAGAACAGCAGTTTGCAGCATCACCTTTTGCAAGCATTCTTTTTAGAGTATTTCCATATTTTGCTTCAAAATAATTAATAAACAAAATCGTTGGCACTTAGTATGCACTTTGTCACAATCCACAACACAAAATGAACGTATTTATATACTCTATAGCTCTAAAAACTTTAAAGACACCTTTTTCACATTTAAAATTGACAAAATAATTAACTCAAAATTTCTCAGCTATTATTTTTATAAGAAGTTTACCATAAGCCTTTCTTAACAGTTTCTACTAGCTTGCGCTACAATTACAGCGATTGCACTTGTTGCGAACGCTTATAAAATAAGAGGTCAGTTTAAAATGAAATAAGCATTTTGACTAAAATACTAAACACTATTTAATTAAAATAAGTAGTAAAAATGGTCAAGTTTTCTCTGCAGCAAATGCGAAGAACACTTAGCAGAAGAAGTTTATAGTCTTAGTTTTCAAGGCAATTATATAGTCTATGAAGCCTTTACTGTCAAGTCAAAATAATCAAAGTCAATAATTGTTTGTTACCAGTTCCTAGTTCCTATTGGTTTTCTGGCACTTTTCACAACACGTCACTCACAATACTGAAGAACACTCAGAAGACTTACTAACTAAACTTAGACGAGTTACTAACTACACTTAGAAGAGTTACTAACTAAACAAGAATTTACTTATTGTTGTTAACTAAATAAGGGGGAGAGCAAATATTTCTCTGTTTAACTACTAGAGAGAAAAACTATGCGGAGACAATGCGATAGAGAGAAAAAGAAGAGAGAGAGAGAGAGAGAGAGAGCCGCGTCTCTAGCGCGATCATAATTATACAAAATTAATGCGTGGCAACTTACGCCGATGTTCAGAGAGGACTGTTTCTTTGTCGCCCTTAAGCCTCTAGAAAGTTGACCCAAAAAGGGCATTTTTACGACCCGACAATTTTTGTAGTTCTGTGAAACAGATGGCCCCAAATAGACAGTACTAAAACATTTGCGGTTCAAATCGATTTTGAACATACTCCCCCCTTTGAAGTCTTTGACTTTAAAACAAACTTAAACGTACGCTTAAACTAGTAAGTACTTACCGACACTATTTTTTTGAAATGTTTTCGCTTTGAACTTGTGACAAGTATGACAACTAATAGAATTTTTCTTAATTTCCTTTGAAAGGGCCTTTTCCTTTTTAAAAAGACTATTTAGCGGCCAATGTCTAAGTCGAATCCTTGACAATACAGTTTGCGGTCTTGCATGTCCTAATAAAATGTGTTCTCTTTTAAAGAGAAGTCTAACCACATGGTTATTTGACAGTAGTAATAACAAGGAAATTTTTGGTCGTACGGTATCAGTGCTTGAGATAATCTGCCTCCAACCCTAATAAGATTATCATTGTCAATGAATGGAGTTAATTTCAAAATTTGTTTGTTAGAGACCTATTTTTCCGATTTGAGTTGAAGAAGCTGCTTTAGAAAGTTTATATTTGTGGTGTTTAATTATAAACTGATTAGTAATTTTTAACTCTTCAATTGAAAGCGGACCAGTGGAATTTTTGGACTGAGGCTTACTGTTCTTTACAAATCGAAGTACAAAAGCAATTGTTCTTTGTAATCGCGAATAACTTGAGAATTTAGTGAAGATTACTTTCCAAATATTGTTAGTATCAGTGAGTAGTACCGTTTTTTGTTTTCTCTCTTCCACATTGGTAGTTAGAATATTTCTGTCATATGCGTGTAAATCCATGTCAAAATTTTGGAAAAAACTTGGGCCGTTCCACCAAAGGGTTGCGTTTTCTAATCAAGCAGGAGATATTCCTCTAGAGAGTAAATCGGCTGGATTTTCCTTTGATGACACATAACGCCACTTACAATCTTGAGTGAGAGTTTGGATTTGTGATATACGATTTGATACAAATACTTGGAATCTGGAAGGGTACGAGTGTAACCAGGCAAGTACTATCTCCGAATCTGTCCAAAGATTTACACTATCAAAAGATAATCTTTCAATGAGTACTGAGCGAACTTTCGTTATTAAAGTGGAGAGGAGGTGTGCACCACAAAGTTCTAAGCGGGGAATAGTTATTTCTCTTATAGGTGCAACTCTGCTTTTAGAAGTAATAAGGAAGCATGACACTTTCTCGTTAGGATATGAAGCTCGTATATATACACAGGCACCATATGCCTTTTGACTAGCATCCGAAAATCCATGTAGTTCTAGTGATATTGGCTTATCAGCTAATAGAATAAAACGAGGAATTTTTAGAGATTTTAATAGCGCCATATCATGAATGTAAGATTTCCAATTTATAAGAATATCTTCTTCTAAAAAATCATCCCAATCAATTTTAGTTTTCCAGATTTCTTGCATCATTAGTTTTCCTATAACAATAACTGGACCAATTAATCCTAATGGGTCAAACATTTGAGTTATTTTTGAGAGAACTTCGCGTTTAGTAACCTGTTTTTCTTCCGAAGGTATCGGTAAAGATATAGAAAATACATCCAAATTGGGGTTCCAAAATATTCCTAGAACTTTGTTCGAGATTCCATCTACTTTAATATCGTAATTTTCTTGAGAAATATCAGATTTGTGAGAGTGATTAATATTGTTGAGAAGTGAATTTGAGTTTGAACACCATTTGTGTAAGTGAAAATTTCCTAATTTACATAATTGCATCAGTTGACGGTGTAATTCGACAAGATTTTCATATGAATCTTGGCCACAGAGAATGTCATCTACGTAACATTGGGAGAGAAGAGCATTTGAAGCAAGTGGAAATGTTTTTTGATTAATAACAGCAAGTTCTTTCAGTACTCGGGTAGCTAAATAAGGGGCACAGTTAGTGCCATATGTAACAGTTAATAATTCTATACACTGGAGCTTTTCACACGGTTTTTCCCGCCATAGGATGTTATGCAGATATGTATGCTTCGGATTGATTCTTACTTGCCGGTACATTTTCTCGATATCAGAAGTAATTACATATTTAAAGGTTCTAAAGCGCAGCAGAATATCGTAGAGGTCAGGCTGTACTGTGTACCCTTTATACATTATGTCATTAAGAGAGAGACCAGATGAAGTTTTCAGCGAACCATCAAACACAACTCGAAATTTACTGCTTTTACTGTCATTTCGTACTGCAGTGATGAGGAAAGAAATACTTATTTTCGTTCTGATCACTCTTCATAGAGAGGGGTACAATACGAGCGTGATTTAGGGAAATATATTCATCGATGAATTTCTTATACTGAAGAAAGAGATCTGGGGTTTTCTCAAATCGTTTCTCTAATTGATAAAATCTTTTTCGTGCGAAATCAAATGACTCTCGTAATGTCCCGTTCGCATTAGGGCCTTTCAGTGGTAAATCCACCTGAAAATGACCACTATCCAAAACGATGTAGTTTTCTACAAATTTTCTTCCACTAACATATCTTCGGGAGCTAAATATTGATTTTTTAAGGGCTTGACTTCTTCTATTGACCAAAATCTTTCCAACAGAAGATCTAGAGGGGTCTCTGCATTTGATAGCAGGAATAAACATTTTTTGGGGTTTAAGGTGTGATTAAAATTCGTGCTAACAATATGAGAGGGGATCAGACCCGAGAGGACGTAACCAAAGTGAGTATCCACTAGTGACAGACAATCATCATTTATTTTTATTATGTTTCCTAAGAGAATCTTGTAATACACATCAGCTCCGAATAAAATATCTATTTTAGAGGGTTTACTAAAACTAGGATCAGAGAGAGAGATTCGATCAGGAATTGCCAACTTTCTTTCATCAATTCTAAACTGAGGACAGTTTTCAGTGATTTTTTCTAAGATGCTGAAGTTTACCAAGAGAGAAAAATTCCTTTCTATAGTAGAATTTACGTTTAAACGCACGGCATTATGAGCATTTCTGACGTTGCCACCAACGCCTACAATTTCAACATGCTGTCTCTCAGAATATGTTTTTAACCTTTTTTACAAGAGATTCGGTGATTATTGAAATAGTGCTACCAGGGTCTAATATCGCCTTTGCAGTTATTAAATTGCCGTCGCAATCTGGGATATTAACAAGAGTTGTGCCTAACAAAACTTCACTGTCATTGGAGGAAAATACTGATAGAGTTCTATGACTAGTAGCAATAGGTTCACTGACCTGAGTGTGGCTGGGAGTGCTTTTAACTGTACCCTCATTGTCTGAAGCTACTTCGTTACGCGGAGGGCTACTTTCACGTGGATTATTATCCCTTGAGCGTCCATCAGATGGCGCGAAATTTGACCTGGATGAGTAATTTCTATCACTATTGTTATATTGAGATCTTTGAGATTGATCATTATTTCGCCAATTTGGAGTTCTTGTTTGAGGAGAATACCTTGACTCTGAAGGACTTGATGAATGTAAAAGTGAGTGATGTTTCTTGTTACATATGGAGCACAATTGAGACGTACAATCCTGTACTTGATGTTTTGAACCTAAACAGTTAAAACAAAGACTGTTCTGCATAACAAAATCCATTTTTTGATTCAAAGGCAAATGTTTAAATTTTAAACATGTATACAATCTATGATCGGGGAGTTTACAGTATATACATTTCTTAATATTTAACGAAGAGCGAGGAGAATTACAATAATGCGGGGTATTTTCATTATAAGAGCGAGAAAATTCCCTTTGCTGATTTCCATGTGCATAGTGGGAAAATTTTTGAAACCTATTACTAGAACCACTTATGGTTCCTTTAACTACTGGAGGAGATATTTTCGACGGAGTTTCCGAGAGATCTTCCAAAACCGTACAGCGCTTTTCTAAAAAGTTTAGAAAATCTTCTAACTTTGGCAAAATAGGTGGAGAAGCCGAAAACATTTGAGAGCCTCTTTCAGAGATATATGCCTTTCGAGTGCCAAAGTCTAAACGTTGAGAGAAGATGTATATTAAATTAAATCCCCATTGCTGTACAGGGATGCTTTGATGTTTCAAAGAATCTGCATTCTGTTTAATACGCACAATAAATTCTCGAAGAGTATGAGCGGTGACCTTTGTTAAAGTGGGGATCTCAACTAAATTTTTAATATGGGCAAATATTATAGAGAGTTGATTATCATATCTTTGTCTAAGTGTGTCAATAGCAACTACCAAATTATCGCTTGTCAACTGCAGTGTTTCTACTAATTGTAGAGGCTCACCCTTAAGATACGTTCTCAAATAAATTAATCTCTGAACATCAGTTAAAGTTTCATTGTCTAGTATAAGAGTTTTGAACAATTCGTAAAAAGCATTCCATTTAGTTATGTCCCCGTTAAATTCTGGAATATTTAATTGGGGTAAATTCACGTTTGGATTTCTAGGATGTATCATAAGAGAAGTTGGTTGGCTATGTTGGTCTTGACTTTTCGGGTAATTCTAAAATTTTCGTTTTAACTTAGCTAAACATGAGAAATATTATTTGTCTTCCATGGGATCTGCATCCTTTTTGGATGGATCTATTTCCTCTACATCTAACTCTATCATTTCATATGATTCAAAAACTGGATTAAACCCTCACTTGAAATTCTAAATAATCTAATTCAATGTCAACATTTCTAGCATACCAATTAATGATTCTAGAAATTCTACCCTTGTGAGTGGCTCGTTGTTTAATCAAAACTTCGAGGTTAGCCATTTTATGATTAATAATTTGACAAAGTGATTTAATTGGGATTAAAACAAAGTACTTCAAAAAGAGAAAAAACTAGTCAGAAATATAACAATTCAGAGAGACAATTCAATTCACAAAAATTATAAACCTGTTATTCAAAAAAATAACATTCAATGATTATGTGTGTTATCTGTGATTTATTAATAAATCACAAGCGAAGCTTGAAATTCTATTTTTCGTTGAGAAAATAGTTATTGTCTTACAAATTAGAATTCAGAGATATTCAATTCATAGAGTTTTAAATCTACAAAAATAACAATCAATTAATAAATCACAAGCGAGACGAAATTCTATTTTTTCGTTGAAAAATAGTTATTGTCTTACAAATTGTTTACAAACACCACAATATGTCGTTATTCAATTAACAAAGTGAGAAGTTACACAAATAACACCAACATCTAATTATGTCAATAATTGGTACATTAATCTAAATAAAGAGAAATACCTAAATTTTCTTTTAATCTAAATGACTATATTTAATTAAAATTTCTTATCCTAAATAAAACGGCGGTGTCAAAAGCGACTGTTGACAAACATAAAACACTCAAAGGACAAATTCCTTTTTTGTATCGATTTATCTCTAGTTTAGGGTATAGTAATAAAACTAAAAATTCTATTCACTATAAGTTCTATGAGAAACCCTCGGAGAAACCTATCCTTTTGACGTGGTTTGGAATTTTGGAAATAGAGAGTTTTTGCAGTACCAATAAGTGTCTAACCGCTGCGGCGGTCTAACTTTATCCGAAATCACTCGCGTAAATTTTTCGGTTTTTTGGAAATTTGTGAATAGAGAAACTTGTCCACTGGAGAAATAGTTCTATAATTTTTGTAAATGTTATTTCTGAATCCGGCTCGAAGGACCATTAAATGTAGCAGTTTTCTGCGAAACTTGCGCTACAATTACAGCGATTGCACTTGTTGCGAACGCTTATAAAATAGGGTGGATTCAGTTTAAAATGAAATAAACATTTACGGCTAAATACTAAACACTATTTAATTAAAATAAGTAGTAAAAAATGGTCAAGGTTTCTCTGCAGCAAATGCGAAGAACACTTAGCAGAAGAAGTTTATAGTCTTAGTTTTCAAGGCAATTATATAGTCTATGAAGCCTTTACTGTCAAGTCAAAATAATCAAAGTCAATAATTGTTTGTTACCAGTTCCTAGTTCCTATTGTTTTTCTGGCACTTTTCACAACACGTCACTCACAATACTGAAGAACACTCAGAAGACTTACTAACTAAACTTAGACGAGTTACTAACTACACTTAGAAGAGTTACTAACTAAACAAGAATTTACTTATTGTTGTTAACTAAATAAGGGAGAGAGCAAATATTTCTCTGTTTAACTACTAGAGAGAAAAACTATGCGGAGACAATGCGATAGAGTGAAAGAGAAGAGAGAGAGAGAGAGAGAGCCGCGTCTCTAGCGCGATCTTAATTTTACAAAAATTAATGCGTGGCAACTTAGGCCGATGTTCAGAGAGGACTGTTTCTTTGTCATATAAGCCTCTAAGTTGTGACTCAAAAAGGGCATTTTTTACGACCCGACAATTTTTGTAGTTCTGTGAAACAGATGGCCCCAAATAGACAGTACTAAAACATTTGCGGTTCAAATCGATTTTGAACAGGCAACTAATAATACACACTATCATGACAAGGCCACGAAGGCTTTGACAAGGGCTACAATGACGTCACAACTGTCAGCGGAAGCGCGGGAAGAGGCGAACGGACGTCTTAGTGCGGCGTTACACGGTCCGTTTTTGCAGGTTCCGCACTGCGGATCCCGTTTTGCGGTATGGCAATATCGCATGAGATGGCATGGCAGATGTAACACCATCCGTTTTTGCGGGATGTGCGGCGACATGCTGCCGCAATGCAGGATTGCGGGATGCGGGAACCTTGTGACGACACAGTCAGTTGAATGTAAACTGTAGCACGGTACGTTTCTGCGGTATGCCGCTTTGATTGCGAAAAGCAAAATATGTTTGATACGGACCAATTTATCGAGCTAATTCGTGGGCTACCTGCTCCTTGGGACAAATCAAACCCTGAATATTCCAAATAAAGATGCACGACAAAGGGCATGGGTGCATCCTCATTGTCGTGTTTTGTTTCGTGATGCTGGGTCTCAATATTTCAAGCAATACATCAAAAATTTATTGAGACATTCGATAGCGTAGGAGAGAACATCATCCTTTCAATTAACGAACAGCGCGAAAGAAGGACCGCAAAGATTTTGAAAATTAAATTACTTTCTAAAATTCGAAGTACAATGATAAAGACAGGCTCTTGGACTAATATATCTGAGTATCTCAAAAATCTTGTTGCATTGTATTTGCTCCTGAAAAAATTGAAGACGCAACAGCACA